TCGAGCCATCCATAAGACCTTCGGGTATGATATTTTTACATGAATTTGAAAATGAAAAATGATGTTTTAAGAAGATGAAATTTTTGAAAACTAAGAATACGATTTTCAAAATTTGACAATTTATAAGTCCTTCGGCCCATCAATAAGTCTTTCGAGCATGATGCTTAAATCATTCGGGTCATCTGTAAGTCTTTAAAGCAAGATGATAAGTCCTTCGGGCCATCCTAAACTTCGGGTAGGATGTTTTCACATGAGTTTGAAAATGAAAAATGATGTTTTAAGAATATGGAATTTTTGAAAACGAAAAATGCAATTTTCAAAATTTCACAATTTATAAGTCCTTCGGGCCATCAGTAAGACTTTCGAGCATGATGCTTAAAACCTTCGGGTAATCTGTAAGCCTTTAGAGCAAGATGACAAGTCCTTCGAGCCATCCATAAGACCTTCGGGTAGGATGTTTTCATATGAATTTGAAAATGAAAAAAAATGATGTTTTATGAAGATGAAATTTTTGAAAACATAGAATTCGATTTTCAAAATTTCACAATTTATAAGTCCTTCGGGCCATCAATAAGTCTTTCGAGCATGATGCTTAAATCCTTCCGGTCATCTGTAAGCCTTTAGAGCAAGATGATTAGTCCTTCGGGCCATCCTAAAACTTTCGGGTAGGATGTTTTCACATGAGTTTGAAAATGAAAAATGATGTTTTAAGAAGATGGAAGTTTTGAAAACTAAGAATGCGATTTTCAAAATTTCACAATTTATAAGTCCTTCGGGCCATCAGTAAGTCTTTCGAGCATGATGCTTAAAACCTTCGGGTCATTTGTAAGTCTTTAGAGCAAGATGATAAGTCCTTCAGGCCATCCTAAAACTTTCGGGTAGGATGTTTTCACATAAATTTGAAAATGAAAAATGATGTTTTAAGACGATGAAAATTTTGAAAACGAAGAATGCGATTTTCAAAATTTCACAATTTATAAGTCCTTCGGGCCATCAGGAAGTCTTTCGAGCATGATGGTTAATTCCTTCGGGTCATCTGTAAGCCTTTAGAGCAAGATGATAAGTCCTTCGGGCAATCTGTAAAACCTTCGGATAGGATGTTTTCACATGAATTTGAAAATGAAAATTGATGTTTTAAGAAGATGGAATTTTTGAAAACGAAAAATGCAATTTTCAAATTTTCATAATTTACAAGTCCTTCGGGCCATCAGTAAGTCTTTCAATCATGATGCTTAAATCATTCGGGTCATCTGTAAGCCTTTAGAGCAATATGATAAGTCCTTCGGGCCATCCATAAAACCTTCAGTTAGGATATTTTCACATGAATTTGAAAATGAAAAAAATGATGTTTTAAGAAGATGAAATTTTTGAAAATGAAGAATGCGATTTTCAAAATTTCACAATTTATAAGTCATTTGGGCCATCAGTAAGTCTTTCGAGCATGATACTTAAATCCTTAGGGTCATCTGTAAGCCTTTAGAGCAAGATGATAAGTCCTTCGGGCCATACATAAGACCTTTGGGTATGATGTCTCAACTGAATTTGAAAATTAAAAAAATGATGTTTTAAGAAGATGGAATTTTTGAAAACGAAGAATGCAATTTTCAAAATTTCACAATTTATAAGTCATTCGGGCCATCAGTAAGTCTTTCGAGCATGATGCTTAAAACCTTCGGGTCATCTGTAAGCCTTTAGTGTAAGATGATAAGTCCTTCGGGCCATCCATAAGACCTTCGGGTAGGATGTTTTTACATGAATTTGATAATGAAAAATGATGTTTTAAGAAGATGAAATTTTTTAAAACTAAGAATGCAATTTTCAAAATTTCACAAGTTATAAGTCCTTCGGGCCATCAATAAGTCTTTCGAGCATGATGCTTAAATCCTTCAGGTCATCTATAAGTCTTTAGAGCAAGATGATAAGTCCTTCGGGCCATCCTAAAACTTTCGGGTAGGATGTTTTCACATGAATTTGAAAATGAAAAATGATGTTTTAAGAAGATGAAATTTTTGAAAACTAAGAAAGCGATTTTAAAAAAATCACAATTTATAAGTCCTTCGGGCCATCAATAAGTCTTTCGAGTATGATGCTTAAATCCTTCCGGTCATCTGTAAGTCTTTAGAGCAAGATGATAAGTCCTTCGGGCCATCCTAAAACTTTCGGGTAGGATGTTTTCACATGAATTTGAAAATGAAAAATGATGTTTTAAAAGATGAAATTTTTGAAAACTAAGAATTCGATTTTCAAAATTTCACAATTTATAAGTCCTTCGGGACATCAATAAGTCTTTCGAGCATGATGCTTAAATCCTTCGGGTCATTTGTATGTCTTTAGAGCAAGATGATAACTCCTTCGGGCCATCCTAAAACTTTCGGGTAGGATGTTTTCACATAAATTTGAAAATGAAAAACGATATTTTAAGAAGATAAAAATTTTGAAAACGAAGAATGCGATTTTCAAAATTTCAGAATTTATAAGTCCTTCGGACCATCAGTAAGTCTTTCGAGCATGATGGTTAATTCCTTCGGGTCATCTGTAAGCCTTTAGAGCAAGATGATAAGTCCTTCGGGCCATCCGTAAAACGTTCGGGTAGAATGTTTTCACATGAATTTGAAAATGAAAAATGATGTTTTAAGAAGATGGAATTTTTGAAAACGAAAAATGTAATTTTCAAAATTTCATAATTTATAAGTCCTTCGGGCCATCAGTAAGTCTTTGAAGCATGATGCTTAAATCCTTCGGGTCATCTGTAAGCCTTTAGAGCAATATGATAAGTCCTTCGGGTCATCGATAAAACCTTCAGGTAGGATGTTTTCACATGAATTTGAAAATGAAAAAAATGATGTTTTAAGAAAAAGAAATTTTTGAAAATGAAGAATGCGATTTTCAAAATTTCACAATTTATAAGTCCTTCGGGCCATCAGTAAGTCTTTCGAGCATGATGCTTAAATACTTCAGGTCATCTGTAAGCCTTTAAGCAAGATGATAAGTCCTTCGGGCTATACATAAGACCTTTGGGTAGGATGTCTTCAATGAAAATGAAAAAATGATGTTTTAAGAAGATGGAATTTTTGAAAATGAAGAATGCGATTTTCAAAATTTCACAATTTATAAGTCCTTCGGGCCATCAGTAAGTCTTTCGAGCATGATGCTTAAAACCTTTGGGTCATCTGTAAGCCTTTAGAGCAAGATGATAAGTCCTTCGAGCCATCCATAAGACCTTCGGGTATGATGTTTTTACATGAATTTGAAAATGAAAAATGATGTCTTAAGAAGATGAAATTTTTGAAAACTAAGAATACGATTTTCAAAATTTGACAATTTATAAGTCCTTCGGCCCATCAATAAGTCTTTCGAGCATGATGCTTAAATCATTCGGGTCATCTGTAAGTCTTTAAAGCAAGATGATAAGTCCTTCGGGCCATCCTAAAACTTTCGGGTAGGATGTTTTCACATGAGTTTGAAAATGAAAAATGATGTTTTAAGAATATGGAATTTTTGAAAACGAAAAATGCAATTTTCAAAATTTCATAATTTATAAGTCCTTCGGGCCATCAGTAAGTCTTTCAAGCATGATGCTTAAATCCTTCGGGTCATCTGTAAGCCTTTAGAGCAATATGATAAGTCCTTCGGGTCATCCATAAAACCTTCAGTCCAGGATGTTTTCATCCAGAATATGAAAAAAATGGTAGGATGTTTTCACATGAATTTGAAAATGAAAAAAAATGATGTTTTAAGAAGATGAAATTTTTAAAATGAAGAATGCGATTTTCAAAATTTCACAATTTATAAGTCCTTCGGGCCATCAGTAAGTCTTTCGAGCATGATGCTTAAATACTTCGGGTCATCTGTAAGCCTTTAGAGCAAGATGATAAGTCCTTCGGGCTATACATAAGACCTTTGGGTAGGATGTCTTCAACTGAATTTGAAAATGAAAAAATGATGTTTTAAGAAGATGGAATTTTTGAAAATGAAGAATGCGATTTTCAAAATTTCACAATTTATAAGTCCTTCGGGCCATCAATAATTCTTTCGAGCATGATGCTTAAAACCTTCGGGTCATCTGTAAGCCTTTAGAGCAAGATGATAAGTCCTTCGAGCCATCCATAAGACCTTCGGGTAGGATGTTTTTACATGAATTTGAAAATGAAAAATGCTGTTTTAAGAAGATGAAATTTTTGAAAACTAAGAATGCGATTTTCAAAATTTGACAATTTATAAGTCCTTCGGCCCATCAATAAGTCTTTCGAGCATGATGCTTAAATCATTCGGGTCATATGTAAGTCTTTAAAGCAAGATGATAAGTCCTTCGGGCCATCAGTAAGTCTTTCGAGCATGATGCTTAAATCCTTCGGGTCATCTGTAAGCCTTTAGAGCAAGATGATAAGTCCTTCGGGCCATCCATAAAACCTTCGGGTAGGGTGTTTTCACATAAATCTGAAAATGAAAAAAATGATGTTTTAAGAAGATGAAATTTTTGAAAACTAAGGATGCATTTTCAAAATTTCACAATTTATAAGTCATTCGGGCCATCAGTAAGTCTTTCGAGCATGATGCTGAAATCCTTCTGGTCATCTGTAATCCTTTTGAGCAAGATGATAAGTCCTTTAGGCTATCTATAAGACCTTCAGGTAGGATGTTTTCACACTAAGATGAAGTCCTCCGGGCCATTTTAAGCCTTCACCAAAGAGTAGTGAAGCAAATCAATTCTAAGACTTCACCAAAGAGTAGTGAAGCAAATCGATCTCGAGTTCGACTTCCCCAGCAAAAAGGTGGAGCGGATCATTTATCAAATTTTAAAGCACGGATATAAAACTGAACAAAAATGCATTGTCTTTTTTATCTTTGCTCTATTCTTGTAAACACAAGAATAAACAAAGAGGGACAACTATAGACACCCGTTTTTGTCCAGGAAATAAATATTATATTATAATAATTATTGTATTATAATTATTATTATTATAAAATTATTATTATTATTATTATTTTACAACGTTTACAAGCCCAAACTACAAAGACCAATTACAACATGCTTGAAGAAATTAAAACCCGGAGTCCAAGAGCAGTCCAAGTGTGACCCGGATCCAGAATTGACCCGTTTAGCTGTTGCCGACAATCATGCCATCTTCAACTCACGCGAAACCTGCAATCATCCACCGAAAGTTCAAGCAACCACCAAGTCAATTCCAACTAATACCAACTAAACCCATCAAAACTTCACCAAACACAAAGAAAAATAAACAAAAGGAAAAGGGGCTTTTGGTGAAATGAAAGGAATAAAAACGGGCAGTAATCAGAACGAAAGGGGGGGAATCAAAAAGAAAATAGAAAGGAATCAGGGATTATCATCAATTATCCGAAACAACTAGAAGAAAGGAGAACTCAAAATTCTTCCCCATTCGTGTTTTACAGAACACAACAAAAAAAGAATTTGTAAACAAAGCAAGGAAAGATTTCTATTTTTTGGCAAGCGAAGAAATATCAATCAAGAAGGTTATCCTTTACTTTCTTTTTTATTTATTTCACAACATGTTCTTATTTTTAAAACAAACATAAGAGAAATAGCATAAGTGTTTACCTTAGTTGCAGTTCATCTCATTTTGTCTCCTAATCGTTTGAATTTATACTATCGAATTAAGGATATGTGGTTAGCATTATTAAACCAAATAAATCCAAAATTAAACAACAAACAAGAAAATAAATTAAAGGAAAGAGGGGGTTTCGGGTTACCTTTGTTGGTGATTCTCGTTGGAGTCAAGACCATTGGAGTAAAAAAATGGTTTGTTGACTAGGTCTAGGCATGTTCGACCAACTTGGGTAACGATTAGGGGAGATTAACGCTACTTTACAGTGGGGATCTTGGGTGTTCCAGCCGGTGGTCATGTGTGAGAGGAAGTAGAGAGAGATAACGAGTGATAAAGGGCTGTGATCAAAAGAGGAATGGCCACCAAGATATGGTGGCCGAACGGTGGCGATGGCACCTTCAGGGGAGATTGCAAATGAGCGTGGAAGAGAGGAGAAGATGGGGAGAGCTGAGCGGCTGTGAGTAAATGTTATTTGCGTGAGAATAGCTTAGGTTTAGTTTAGGTTACATTTTAATAAAGTTTTTTAGTAAAATTATAGTTTAGTCACTGAAATTTTAGGAGTGAATTAGTTATAAACCTATATTTATGTACATTTTGATTTAGGTCATTAGTTTATTTTTAGTTTACATGTTTAATCTAATATTTATTTAAATTTAGTCATTATTTTAAATATATATATTTTTAAAAATTTATAGTTTGGCATAATATGTTTTTATTTTTGTATTTAAGTTACACTTATGCATTATATGTTAATATATATATAGTCTATAATTTATAATTATAAAATACACGTAAATAATTTTTATTAAGATTATATGTTGCATGATATTTTTTTTTATATTTATTAAGTATATAATTATTTATTTATTAATATTTGCATGTTAGCCTCGTGTGCATAACTAAACATTTATTACATAATTTGATTAAGGGTAATACCATTTTAATTTAAAATTGTCGGAATGACTTTTCTTAACTTACAGGAAAGTTGTTCTTAACGGTTTTAAATTACAAGTGTATCCCGTCATTGTCATTAAAAAAATTGATTCTTCACTTTAAAATTTGAGAGTGAAAGAAAAAGAAATGTTTGGTATTTAAATTTATTGAGAAAATATCGTTAAAAATGACCTAAATATTTGGTCTCAATATTTTTAAATAATCGAATATTCTTTATCTTTCTAATGGCTTGATAATTTTAATTTAACCTATTTCATTGCTTTTGAATGTTATAAAATTTGCACTTTTGTTGTTTTAAGGGATCAAAAATTAAATTAAAGTTGAACTTGTAAAATTCATTGTAAAGACATTAATTAATCGACTAGGTACCAATTTAGGGCGCTTTAGGGGTGTTAATCCTTCCCCACGCGTAACCGACTCCCGAACTCAGATTTTGATAACGCATACCTTAATTTTTTGTTTTAATTAAAATTAATTTTTATTTAAAATGACAACGTTTTTGGGTGTCCAATCACACCCTAATCAAAGATTGGTGGTGACTCGTCGAATCATATTTGTTTTTTTTATCGTAAAAGAATTTTCAAATTTTCGAAACGAAAGAGATTTTCTAAATCGCTTATTTTTTAATTAAAAATCAATCCTGAAAAGAATAATTAAAAATTAGTGTGGTTTTCAAAATCCTTCACTCTATAAAAAAAACCGTTTCGACAAATTCAATCAGAGTTACCTCACCTTTCGAAGCGGAGACGATAGCGGCAATGCATGCAGTGGAGCTAGCTTCTGACTTGGGTTTCCATGACGTGACCATCGAAGGTAATTCCATAACGGTTCTTGGGAAACTTACATCACCTGAATAGGATAGATTGGAGATAAGGGCTTTGGTATAGGAAGCGAAGTGCCGTGTGAACTATCTCCGATCTTTTCGTTTCCACTTTACTCTAGATCTGTAATATGACTGCTCACTGTCTGGCAGCGGTGATAGTCTTGGGGATTTGGACAGGTTTTGGATTGAAGAAGGTCCTCGTTGTCAAGAGGTGTAAATGGCTGAAGATTTGAGGTGGATGGTTCCCCCTTAATGTCGTTCACCCGTTTTCTTGTTTTGGTTCTTTAGATCTACTCATAGTTTGTTTTCTCTATGTTAGAGCGCTCATTGTTTTTCTGAGCAGAGATGAAGAAAGACCAACCCTACGACCTTTTGTTTTTTTTTTTTTGTTGTTTTCCACGGTTTTTAATTTTTAATGTTGTTGAGTTGTCTTCCTTTTAGTACAACTTTGGACGATTGCTTTGTTTTTCTTTTTGAATAAAGGGGTGGCGTTTCATGGTTCAAAAGAAAACAAATTAGAAACCCCTTACATATAATTTATTAGAATAAGTAAACATTCACTTTTTGTATTAATCTTTTTTTAAAATAAATTAAGATCCATTTTACTTTATTATTTCTAATTTTAAGATACAAAAAAGTTATATGTTTTTTTACTGTTTGATTGTTCATTTTCTTTAACATGTTCATCTCGATCAAGTTATCAAGTATTTAACTTTTAATTTCACTTCAATTAAAGGTAGTTTCTCTAAAAATATTTTTGAATTCACTTTATATTTATGGTTTTATTAGAAATTTATATTTATTATGTGGGTTCATAAATTTTCATCTCTAAATATAAAACTTAGATACAATTCTAGATAATATTATTATTGATATATTTAAAATTTTAAAATTTTTATGTGAATAAATGAATTTTTAAAATTTATAAATTTTTATTAATACGATACTTTGATATATAATTTACATTGACAATTATATTAAAATATTTTATTTAATATATACAAAAAAATTAAAATGATCTCAACATATAATGTTGAGTTCTGCCACTGATAAGAAACATAACAACTCAGAGATCCTAACTGTAGAAAACATACCAAAATAAGCTAGTGGGGTAGCCATGTTACCAGTATAACCAAAGAATACCAATAATATATGTAAAAACAGATATATCAATAAGGAAATTGTCACACCCCAATTTAGGGGTTAATTTTTTCTTAATTTTATTTCGGTGATTAAATTGAAAATTTAGTGAAATTTGGGGACTAAATTTCAATTTTTATTTAATTTCGAATCCAAAATCAGAAAGTATCCAAAACTTAGGGGCCTCATGTGTGATTTTACCAATTTCCAATTATGTTGGGTTTAAAAACCCAAAAACTAGATTTTCCATTTTAGAAAACCCCAAAAGTTTTCTCTCTTCCATTTTCCCTTTTTAGAAAGTTTAAGCAAAGAATTTTTTATCTTCGTTTTGCCGTCGACTGTTGCTTTGTTTAGTGCACCACCCATACCATTGGAGTCATTGCATTGTCTCGAGTCCAACGGTGGTAGTTTCGTTCACTCTGTCTTTGGCAAGTAGAGGGGCGGGCAACATCAAGTTTTCGACGAAGCGTAATCGAACTCTCTGCTAATCACTATTGTGAATCGAGCTAGGTAAATGCCTTAAAATTGTTTAAAAAAATTAGGATTTTTTTAGTTTTTACGTCGCCGAAAGCCACTACACGTGCCCTCGTGCATGGTCGTTATACGTGGGGATTCGGGATGGGCATGCGCCCCAAACCTGACGAGTTCTGACCCGACCGAGTCGGGCTGAGTTTTTAAAAAAAATCAAGTTTGGGTTCGGTTAGGGTTTTAGAGGTTAAGTTTGGGTCGGGTCAGGTTTGGGTTTAGGGTGAAAAATACCTGACCCGACCCATGATATGACTGTCAAAGACAAAGACCCGGAGAAGTACCCAAGTGGCCCCATCACACGTACAAGGGCCAATGAGTTTCAAGAAACAATGAAAAACTTGTTTACAACAAGCCATAGACATGGGAAAGAAGATATAACAAGGGAGGAACGCTTTACATTGCTAATGCATACATTTGTATGAGAATTTAAGTATTTTATAATTTCCATTGCATTTTATAAAGTGTGCTGATCATTAAAACATACATTTCATTTATAGTTAAGATCATTTAGGGAAACAATTTATTTATGCATCTTAAATCATTCATTAAACTACTTCATTCATGCATTTATTTAAATTCAATAAAGTTAGTTCTTTAATTAAAATAGTTTATTCATTTAACTAGTTCATTAATTAAACTAACTTTTTAATTGTATCATGCATCTTTTATATAAAGTTTGAATAAAACCTATATGTGTGTCTAGGTTCATGTGACGTGTAGAATGATGGAGATACCCTTCAACTTCAACTTGGAAACAAGCAATTGATGACCATCTTTACTCATGATATCAAGGAAATTCAAGGCTGAGATTCTACACACAAAGGTTGTTCATATTCTTGAGAAGACAATGCATTAAAGCCTTATTGTTCACCTAATCAAGGCTGAAATAATCACTCATTGAAGGCTATTCATGTGCTAAGCTAAAAGACAAGTGATTCAAGGATGTTTTTATTTCATAAAATCAACAATGGAGACAAGTAATGAAGGCTGGATTTATTTCAATTATTTACTCTTTTAAGTGAAGAATTCATCAAAGAATATAAAGGGACAAACTCATTTGGACTTGTAGGATGTCTACAATCATCCCAAGACTACATTAATTTCCCTTTTAGTTCATTTGCAAGAAAACAAGGCAATCCAAGAGTCTTTTTTCCTTTTGGAAAAAAATAAGACTAAATACATTCAAAATTCAGCCTAAATTCATCCATTTAATGAACATGGCCAGCCATCAAAGGACAAGGAAGAAGGCAACTCATTTATTTATATTTAAGAGAATTTAGATGAGCATTCATCTTACTTTTGTGTGACTTTTCATATGGTGCCTATCCACACTATAAATAGGCTTCTTAGGATCATTTATAAGACACCTCTTTTTCAATTATAAAAAGTCATTGAAATAATGTTTTCATTTTAGTTATTACGAGAACTCTATCGGCTTCAAGTGTGCTTGTAGTATTCTATCCATTTCATCTTATTATAGTGTTAGTTCCTAACTCTCATATAGCTAGTGGGTCTTATTTCACACTCATCCATTTCGACTCTATCAAGTTATATTGTTGGTTCCTAGCTCGTATGGCTAGTGGGTCATAATTTGCCATCCTTGCAACTATACATGTTCATGCCACTTTCAACATCTTACCATCACTTCATTTTTTATTTTCATTTACCACAACTTCCATCCTTCATATTTAGCCTTCAAAGTCTCTAATTCATCTAACCAATCCTTTCTTTATCAGTTTTATTATATTGATATTCATTTCATATATTTGTTTTATGATATTTCAAAGTTCAAAGCATTGTGACGATTGTTTTTACTATAATCATGATCGGGCACATCTATATGATTCAGATATTACAACCAGGGTTATATCAATTGGTATCAAAGCTTAGGTTGATTCAGTAAGATTGTGAAATTTTCTCTCCTAGGTTAGTTAAAAAAGTGTCAAAAAATTCAAAACAATTACAAAAAAATTAAATAGAGAGGGAGCATATTATTTTCTATTATTCTTTATAAAAAAATA